CCGAGCACAGGACCAATGATTTCATGCCACTAATTCAACAAAATCTTGAATGCTAGGTCACTGACATGCCTCCTTCAACCAGCTCTCTAAGGCACAAATCCTATGGTTGAAAGTATGCCCATCCTCCTGACAAGTCCATAAAGGCAATTTAGGTATATTCCTTTATCTGGCTCATTAAAATTGTACAACAAAGGGCAAAAGATAAGTTCAATCTACCAACCAAAAGAGTGACATGTGACGGTGTCTACGAAAGTTGGTATATATACTTTATAAGCCTGCATATTCAGCTCAAGACTATATGTTGCATAGACATCCGGTTAGCATTCTCGAAGATCTACAAAGTGAAACCCTCATCATGGTATCCAAATAAGTTTTTAGAGATTCATAGGGTCATAGGTTATAACAAACATAATTCGCTTCAGAAGCGCACTATATTTTTTGGGATATTTTTTGACGTTAAAAAAAATAATTAAAGATTATTATTATTTCTAATTAGGTTTAATTAAACTTAATTAATATTAGATTAAAATTTAAATTTTCATGCTAACACAACTACATTTAGTCGTGTTAATTGCTCCCGCTTCCCTTCATTAATAAGGATCACACGGAGTTCGTTCCCTGTTTACGTGCCCACTTCGTAACTTCCCTTTATCGTTCCCAATGCCCTTCAGCTTCCTTGCACCAACCTACACTTCTTCGTTCGTCTGCTTTCTCCATTTCGTCTCTTTTTCTATTCACGCAACTAAACTCTGTTTCTTCTTTCGCGACCGAGAATAGTGAGCGAAACCACTGACAAAGTTGCGCCATACAGAGATGCACTTTACCTTCTTCGTCCTGTGAAGGCTCACATTCTCCCAATGCTCCCTAACGGGGGTTGAAGCTGGGAGTCTGCCAAATTTATGGGTGATTTGGATTTGCAAATAATATAAATTCTAGACTTTTGAACTTTTAAAATATTTTAAAAATGTATGGATTATTTGAAGTTTAAAATATTTGAAAATTTGGGGCTTTGAAACGTAGGCTCATAAGATTTTAAATAAAAATTGGGCTTTTGAAATATAAGCTCCTATGGCTTAAAAATATTAAAATCTTGTTTTTTTTAATTTAAGCTCATAAGACTTGAAATGTTTTAAAAATTGAGTTTTTCAGACTTAGACTTTTAGGGTTTGAAAATCAATTAAAAATTGGGTATTTCAAACTTCGATTCCTAGGGATGAAAAATAGTTCAAATATTTAGCTTTTTGAATCTTTAAAATCTCTCCACGAAATTTGCAATGTGTCTGCTAGCGAATAGAAGACGATCATTTTTAAGCTTCAAAAGTAGCTATGTAAATGCAAGAACATTTTGCAAATATCTCAAAATTTGAATGATTTCAAGCCATACAAATTTCAAGAATATTTTCTAAATCAAATGTAAAATGCAATACTTAGAGATTTGTGAGAGTATTTTAAAAATTGTATGAGTCAAAGTTCTCGAATTTATGTAAATTTGAAATATCTACACAAATGAATCAACTTTTTTTTTTGAAACAAACTACCTCTCAATTTCATAGTTTAACTTAACAACCAAGTTACTCAAAGCATGTAAAATTCAGGATAGCGTGCAAACATATAAAGTCAGACAGTTGTATGTGCTCCAACCAATATATTGAATACTAAAATACCAAGTTTGAGAATGTTGCATGGGCTAACGGTCTGTCTTGTCTTTAGGATTGGGTTTTATGTCTCACTTAACTAGTCTGATTCTCCTTTCAATGAATGGAGTTGTGGACAGTAAATTTAATAAAAAAATGTTTAAATCATAAATATAAAAATTTTCAAGTCCAAATCACTTAAACTGATTCTTTTCCTTATAAAGATAGGAGTCGACATGGCTTATATCCTAAAAGGCCTATACTAACAAATTCAAATGCCTTTAAATATAAGAGTGTCAAATATTTAAATGCTCATTGATGGCCCAATTGACTGAAAATCTCAACCAGAGGGGTTAATTTCAATCCAATATTCAGTACGAGTTTCAAATGAACCTTTGGACAATACTGTATCCCAGATTAATTATGGCATTTGTGAGATCATGCAACTCGTTGTTGACACGATTGAACAGCCAGGGCAGTCCAGACTTCTGAGTCATTGCTAGATTTAGGTGAATACATTAGAGTGACCCAGATATTCGCCTGTGGGTTGGGTTCCCAGTCCAACATGTGTATATGTTACTAGGCCAGATATATTCTAGAGGTGCGTAGAGATACATTGCGAGCAGCTGGGATATATTCAAGTTAAATTAATCACTTAAAAGCTAAAAGCAAAAAACCATCTATCCTCTGCAACAGTTTGTTGGGGTGACAAACTCTTGATTGACTTTAGCTTATAAAGAGTGAATGTCATATTAAATGCATTTCTATATTCACAATAAAAAAAATTACATGCTAGTAAGGATATGACACGAGTCTTCTATTTGTATGTTTTTGCTGCTAAATGACACCACAAAGTTGCGGTTACAACCAGAGCCCTCTAATCTGGTTTTTACTATCAAATAACACCATTATATTACGATCACAACCACTACTCGTATATTCTCCAACGGCTTTCTATCCTTTGAGTTATGGATCATAAGGGTACAATTGATTGACAAAATGTCTTATGTCAGTTAAGGTCGACTTAAATTTGTCCTCTCAACCAACCATCCACCTTGGATCTATAAGGGTCCCTTAGACGATGCAATCCATGGTTGCTGACAATGATTTTTCAGTAATGTTGGGTCGACTATCTCCTTTAACTAAGTAAATCAGGAACCACGACGACTCAGGACAACGAACCATCAGATATTGATCGGCTTTTGTCATCGTTCCCCCACAATCTACTTCAAGTTTCAAGTGATAAATTTTGCAATTTAAAATATATGTCTGCTACCATTATATGTTGATTATTCAAGGTTAAATGACTAGCCTTAATCGAAGGTGCTCTCTTGTTATCGTGAGAGGTAATTAACCATAGGGACTTGCGTTTATGGGAAACCTGGAACCCTAGTGTTGTATATGCTATTCTATCTACATTCTGAAAATTTAATCCTCCAAAGCTCTCTCAACCAAATGAAATAAAAAATAACCGAGTTTAGGTAGCGGTCGGAATTTTTTGAGCCCACAGCTGCATTCCCTCGAAAACCAAAAGAAACTAATATATCAAAGATATCTTCCTCTTTGAGGTTAATTTAATGCTCTAAATTGCAATAAAATAGGGGTATTAAAGATTGCACAATCACAATGCATATATCTATATCTCATTGTTAGTTATGATATTTCAACCATGATGAATTTATATGTCATCCCTCAACTTCATGCAAGTCTCCGTATCTAAAAATTGGAGGCCAGGTAATTACAAAATAATAAAGTGGGAAGCAAACAGCATAAATTTGATTAAAATAATTTCAGTAGATCAAACTAAAACAGATAAAACGTCCAATATCCAACTACATTTAATTCCTAGAAATAGAGTTTAAAACAGTATATAAAATAAAAAACCCGACATTAAAAGGTCTAATTATGAAGAAAAAAAGAAGGAAAAAGAACTTCAAGGACAAATCTCTTTACTATTAATTTGATTTCTCTAAGTTGCTGCCTCTTTTTCTCCTCATCAATCTCCAACAAAAAATCCTCCAAATATTCTTAGAAACTCCAAAACAACAGCCATGTTTATTGCTCTAAAGTTAAAATTTAAAATGTTATTCATACCACCCCGAATTGGCTCTAAATAGGCATTTTGGGGCTAATATGCAGAATTTACTGTAGCCACACCTAGTCTAGCCCATAGGCGCCAAAATTGAATTGTAGATGCTGGCAGGTAGGAGAGCCTAAAGCCGCAACTCACAATTTGGTGCCACAGCACCCACAATGAAGTCAGGGTGTCTATTTTACTGTATTTTAGGTTTGTTTAGTGTTCTAAAATTGTCGTCGGGGCACCACAATCCTGGTTGCTAGTCCACATGTTCTTTTAGCTGTTCGATTAACTGCTAATTTTGCTCCATAACTTTTTCCTCTCTAAAATATGCTCCAGAATTTCAATTTAAGCTTCAAATCATTATTGAACCTAATTGATCAATGGAGGAGGATTAATGTTGATAGAGTTTGAAAAATGAAAATAATAATGTAATATGCACAAAGATACAACCTATAAGTATCACATAAATGTTCATTTAACAATGTATATTGGAAACAACCTTAGTTTTGCTATACAAAAACCATCCTTTTGTGGAGAATAATCTTCCTGTCCAGCATACAAGAGGTTTCTACAAGTCACAACCTCTTTGAGTGTACATCTGTTTTATATTCACGTCGAAAATGGATGCCATCTGATATGTTATATGGTTCCTAGAAGGTGTTTAGGAAGCGAGTTTTGTGAAAGTATAGTTGTGGAATTGGAAGGGAATGAAAATATGGGTGGTTGAAGATGTTTGGAAGGGGTATGATGTGCTCGATGGCTGAAATCGGCTGTTGGACAGCAGGTAGCAGCGAAATGGTAGAGGGGATCCCCTACATATTTCTAAACAAGATACAGACGCACCAAAGAAGATGATACAACACTTAAGAGAGTATAGAATAGAGAAATAGGTTCCCAAATATAATAATAATAGAAAAAATCTCTCAAAATAGAAAAACAAACATATAAATAGTCCCTCAAGCAAAAACCCTACTTAAAAATAAGCAAAAAACAGGAAATAAGCCATAAAAGGAAAAAAAATCTTGCTGAATTGGACTACGGGATGAAATCCACTTGGTTGGGATTTCCGTGATCGCGGATATACCGCGATCGAGATGGTCCTGCACCACCATCATAGCTGATTATTCTATTAATAGATTTCAAGTATCAATGATGCTTGTTACGCCACTATTTTAGTATTTCAAATTAGTTTTTTTCGAGCTGTGCGGGAAGTTCTTTTCCTTCTATACTTGATATAATTACTTTCTTTTTTTAATTTTTAAATTTTATTTTGTATTATTTTTCAGAGGCCAAGGTCATCCAATAGGCAGCTCATCGCCTTATTTTGGGCCTACAAAGAAACTGGATTTTGAACTTGAAATGGTTGGCTTCAGTAACTTGAAACTTGTAGTTTTAATGTATTACTTCACGCCATTCAACTAAACTAGAACTCAATCCTTCATAATTTAGTAGATCATGAATTCATGATTTTTTTGTAGTATGCCATAAATTTAGCATTAACATCTCTTTAGTGGATTTAATATCTTTTCAGGCTGCTATTGTTGGTCCAGGCAATCAGTTAGGCAAAAATATTGATGTTAGCGAGGCATATGACCACATTTTTGGACTTGTGCTTATGAATGACTGGAGTGGTGATTACCGTTCTTCTTTCTGTTATTTCAATTTGTTGCTTAGCTTGCATTGACGTTTCCAATAACTGGAGCTGCTTTTACAGCCAGGGATATCCAAGCATGGGAGTATGTCCCCCTCGGGCCTTTTCTTGGAAAGAGTTTGGTTTTGGGAAAAAAAAAAATTTTTTTTTTTTTTTTTTTTTTTTGACACCCTTTTGCTTGCGTGCTATCTTGCTAGAATCTGCTGCCCTGCTAAATTGAGATATTTTATGTAATAACTGCAATTAGGTACAACAATATCTCCCTGGATTGTGACCCTTGATGCTCTAGAACCTTTTGCCTGTGATCCACCAAAGCAGGTAAGTAGACCCTGACCGTCTCTTCTTCAGCAATTTTAGTTATAGAAAGGAAAGAGCAAAAGAAAGTAGAATCTTTTTTTTTTTTTAAATGTAACTTGCTATACTATGTTCAAAGAAATAATTTTCATGTCCTTTCTGAGGATCTGTGACCTTGTACCGTGAGGGCATAATACGAGCAATGGCTTCAGTTTATAAATCAGGCGACACTAAAGTCATCCAATTCAAAGTGGTTTACATTCCGAGTAAATTTTTTTTTTAGATGAACTTTTCATGTGTTATTGCTGGCTGCATGCATCTTTATCTGTTCATCTGTGCCTTGTATAAAAATCACTGTAACAATTCAGTTGCATCAGATTATATATTTCAAATTTTTTGAAGAATTTGATAAAAAGGAGACATGTTTCCGCATAGATTAGGGCAAAATAAAACATTTTATTCCACTAGCACAAAATATCACAATCCCAAATACATAAACGATAGACCTACAATTTGAGATGTAGGCAATTCTCTCCTAAACTCTAACTCCTAAGATTAAAGACGACAATCACATGCCCTAACCCTAATCATATTAAGCCTTATTTATACCAAACAAAAGTAGCTAATAAATGATTAATTGTCATTTTAGTTTTGTGCCTAAAGTAGGTCTTCAAATTATTTGGCAGCCTTGGTGTTGGTTCGGTGAGACCACTTGACTCAGTGAAGCCCGAGGCGGAAGACACCATAGACATCGGTCTAACATTACTCCCAACCCAATAAGTCACATTGTCCTTAAGGTGGAATAGAGGAGACTACTGCTTGATCAAGTCGTATGACTCCCATGGAAGGTCATATTCTGGCAAACATTTTCATTTAATCAACACTTATTTTCCACCTGTCAATTCCTCACGCAGTCCTCCAGTTGCTCCAAGAGAACTTTTATATCTTCAATCAAACTAAGGGGAATTGAAGAAGATGATACATTATTACTAATAACATGTCTCAACTCCGATACGTAGAACAGTGGTTGGAGTGTCAACAAAGGCGGTAGTTTTAAACGATAAACCAGAACACCAATGCGCTCAGTGGTCGCATAAGGACAAAATAGTTTGTGGAGAGCTTCTCATTCCTGCATTTGGCCAATATCTTCTATCGATGGGGCCAAAGTTTTAGATTATCATATCTCCTACCGCAAACTGCACATTCCTTCGATGTCTGTGGGCTTTCTTCTTCATAAATTGTTGAGGTTTCAATAAACGCCCCTGCAACTTTGTCGACACCTTATCCCTCTTTTCTTACTAATCCATCACAGACACCAGTGTTAAATTTTCATTTTTATGCCTTATGTAATCCTAATTATCTCTCTCTCTCTCTCTCTCTATATATATATATATATATATATATTTTTTTTTTTTTTTTTGAAAAAGCCCAAGGGCATATATATTAATATGGAAAAAATACAGAAAGATTGTATGAGAGCATCTAAAAGAAAGTCCAACTCACATAATAAAACGCACACAAAACTCAAATAAAGCAAAAATACATAAAAGTAAAAAAACCAAAAAGCCACAAAATGGTGCAAAAGTGCTAGGATCATTCCACTTTAGTCCTCTCTCTGTCTCTAATTTTTGGAAGTGAGCCGACTAACAAATTGGAAATGTGAGTACCATTGCCCGTAGTAACTAAAATATCATCCATCAGATTTCTAAGCACAAGTAGGTCTCTATTCTTCTTTTTCCTCCTAGATGTGTAGACATGTCATTCCTCATCCGATGATTGACTCATCTGATCAGTATATTCCAACGTTGGTCAGACAGGTGTAGGTTGTTGTACATCACGATCCCCATGAGCCTAACATTAACAGCTTGCTCAACCTGATGAGACGGTAGTAAAACAGTAGAAGTATTGTCACCTGTATTATTGGTGATATCTAGGGCAGTTGGGGTCTGAAGACTCACCCTCTCCCCCACGATAGGAGGTTCCAAAGACAGGGGAGCTACAACTGAGGACTGAAAGGTTGTCATATTGTCTGCGAGAATAGTGACATCATCCGGGGTAATCTTTTGATGATAAATATTATCAATAACTTGGAGCTTTTCAGGAGGATATGAAATCGCTGCCTCTGACGGAGCACTATGTTTTTTTGGTCTGAGTTGAGGGTATAGATGGTGGTATTGAGAACTGGAGTGACCGAACATACGACAATTTGAACAGTTCGAGGGAAAATGCTCAATCACTACCTTTTGTCAATATCCATGACGTTGTGTGCCCAACCAAATTTCCTCAGAGGCGGGTGAAATAATGTCTCTTTCAACAAGTACTCTGACTTCAGATGGACGAAAAAGATTAAAAGTAGAAATGTCTGCTTTGAGTGGCTTACCTAAGCTGAGGCAATAAAGTACAACAATTTTTGAGTAAAATAATAAAATTTCAAACCAGGGAGGCGAATCCAAACCAAAATGATTAGTGGTACTGCTGTGGGTTAAAATCTACAGACCATTTTTGAATCTTCATTGCTCTGTTATCAATCCAGATTATCCTTCGAGCAAATAAGCGTGTGTAATCATCTTCATTATTTAGTTTTATAAAAATGTGTCTTTCATCTAATAGTCCAATTTTCCACTCCCCAACATGGTGCATAAGCTCAAATTCCTTACGAATCAGCTCTATTTTGAGACGACCATACAGAAATTTTCCGACCAAATTCATTCCACAGGAGGAAACAAGTTAAATACCTTCAGCTTCTGTAAAAAGGACGACAAACTTTCCATTCTTCTACCAGGTTTCTGGATGTCCTCCGCCCACTCAAATGAAGGAGGGAAATAGCACGATTTAGGTGTATCTGAGGTGTGAACACCCGCAAGTGCAGCGGCATAAGATTTTTCAGAAACCATGGAGGTGCGGCGCAACAGAGCAGGGAGCGGAAACCCGAAACAGGGAGCAGGAGCGGAAGCCCCTGCGATCTCAAAGCAAACGGGAAAGAGCGGCGAAGCCCCTGCATCAGCTCGAGCTCGAGGATGACACAGCCGTCGCAGCCCGACACACGAACAGAGACGCAGAGATGCAGAGACGCAGAGCAAAAACGAAGCTGACGTGCGAGCAGAGATGCATGAGCAGAAACGAAACCGAAACGGGGAGCATGAGTGGCGAAGCCCCTACGATCAGTTTGAGCCCGAAGACGACGCAGCCGACGCACGAGCAAAAACGAAGCCGATGTGCGATATATATATATATATATATTATTCGGAATATATGTTATAAAATTCTTGCTAAATATTCTATTCACCCTTAAAGCCTCTTGGTCGAGCCCTAACCCCCCTCCCCCTGGACTTCACCTCCTTCCTCTACTGCACGCGCACAATCTCTGCCTTTGGCATGGCTTGGCTCTTCTGTAGAGCCGCAAAATCTCCTATTTGACTTCGGCTAGACACTGAAACTGCCTTGACGACGCTTTCGCCTTCCTCCACTGTTTGACAGAGATGTCGCCTCCCTTCGATTTTCGCTCCCTCCTTCATGCTTCTCCTTCGCATCGAACCGCACGAAGCTCGACGCGCATCTTTTCACGAGAACTTCATCGATGGAACTACAAACGCACGCGGCTTCGGCTCTTCTGGTAAGTTTCCGCCTCCCTAATACGACATTTTATAGGCAAACATACCTCTTAGGCCTTCCACTGCACCCCCCCAATCTGTTCGGTTTCTCGACTCCTCATTTCTCTTCTTCGGTTTCTCTCGAATGTTCGACTCTTCAACTCCTCTCCTCTGGGTAGACGAGGCATCACAAGTACTATGTTCATAATTTACTAAATGGGATGAATCGCGACAAAATAAGATTTTAGGAATGGTATAGAAAGTTATATAATATGAAGTGTTGTACCAGTACTTTGCCCAGGGTAGCTATTTAGCCCACCGCTTGGTTGCGTCGGATACAAAGCAATGTAAATTTCTCTACACGCTCTAATTAACAACTTTGGACTGTCCATCTGTTTGTGGGTGGTACGTTGTACTCTCTTCAATACGATCCCTTGTTTCTAAACATCTCCCTCTAGAAGTGACTCGAGAAAACATTATCTCAATTCGACTATCGATTCTGAAATTCTATGCAAATGGACAACCTCTTATATAAAAACGACAAAAGAAACAACAATGTAGGGATGACGTAGAGGAATAAAGTGAGCGTATTTGCTCAACCAGTTCAACACCACCAAGATGGTCATAAATCCTTCTGATTGAAGTGAACTTTTAATAAAATTTATCGTAACCTCTTCCCATACCTTGTCTGGTAATAGCAAAAGTTGTAGCAACCTCCTAGGTACTAATGCCATGTAATTTTGTTGTTGGCACGCATCACAAATTGAGACCACGTCCTCCACATCTTTTCTCATTCCCACCCAATATAATTATGATGCTATCTTTCAGTATATTTTGAGCATACCCGAATGACCCCCTCAATAGCACTATCGTGAAACTCATGTAATAACTTTGACATGTGTCTTGAATTTCGAGGTAATACATAACATCCCTGGTAAAGTAAATGTCAGTCATTCAATGAATAAGCGGGATAGCTATTCTCTCCATTCAATAAAGTCAACCGGATCTTGCCCAATTCCTTAGTTGCCTCACTCTATTGCCTTAGGACCTCCTATTCTAAAACCAAAGAGACCGACAATGCAGCAATTGATGTTCCTCCATCTATCGTGATAAGGCATCAACAACCTTCTTCTTTAATCGCGGGCGATACTAAATCTCAAAGTCATACTCCATTAGCTTAGATAGTCACCTCTAATGCTCCTTAGTCACCATACATTGTTGTAACTGAAATTTAAGACTAAGCTGATTTGTGTGTACTGTAAAATGTTGCCCCAACAAATAAGGTCGTCATTTCTAAATGGCAAGCACAATCACCATAAGCGCTCATGCATAAACTGACTTGAGTTTGGCTATCACAGTCAGGATTTGGCTGAAAAAAGTGTGTGGTCGTTGGTATTGCATAAGGACTACACCTAACTCATAGTCCGAAGCATCTGTATCTACAATGAAGGGGTGGCTAAACTCAGGTAACACCAATAGTGGTACATTCATCATAACCTTCCCCCCCCCCAACTGAAAGTTATCCTACTTCAATTGTTTCGTTAACGGCCACGTAATCGACCTATAACCCTTCGCAAACTTTCGATAATATTCTACAAGTCCTGGAAGGCATTTCAACTCACCCAAGATCTTAGGTAAGTGACCAATCTAGTATAGCCGCCACCTTGAATTGATCCGTCGAAACCCCTGTAGCCAACACCACATGTAGTAAGTATTCCACATTTGGTTGGGCAAACAAGCACCTCAAGTTAGCGTAGAGCTACTTAGTATTGTCAGCATCTTCTTCAAGTGCTCATTATGATTTTCAAAGGAACGACCGTACACTAAAAATTCACCAGAGAACAACAACACAAACTTTTGGAGGAAAGGCTGAAACACCATGTTCATTAGTGATTGAAATGTAGTTGGGGCATTGGTGAGCTCAAATGACATAACCAAAAACTCATAATGACCCTTATGAGTTCGAAAAACAATTATGTGTACATTCGATGGCCACATCTGAATCTGATAGTATCTTGACTTTAACTCAATCTTCAAAAATAATGCGATCTCAAAAAACTCGTCCAATAGCTCATCAATCACCAGAATGAGAAATTTATTAGATATTGTTTTCATATTCATTGCCAAATAATCCACACAGAAATGTTAACTCATTCTGTTTTTTACTAGCAAGACCGGACTAGAGAAGGGACTTATGATTGGTTGTATGATTCCTGCCTCTATTATCTCTTAGATCAATGTCTCAATCTCGTTCTTCTGCATTTGATATGGGCACACAATGATGGGAGAAAAACCACTACCTCAAGTTTATTGCATGCCTGTGTTCCCTCAGAGGAGGCAATCTGGTGGCAACCAGAAAACTTCTGCAAACTATTCTAGGAGTTGTTGGACCGGTGTTGTAATCTTTGCTAACACTGTGTCATGTGTTTCTTTTATACAATGCAATTTGACTAAGAATCTAAGCTTAGTGTCTTGAATTGCCCCAACCATGGTGTTGAGCATAACGAATGTCTTGCACAAATTAGGATCACCGGGAAGCATTATTTTCTCGTCTCCCTCCTAAAACTCTATTTTCAGAAGTCTCCAATTCATCATAATCTCCCTTAAGGACTGCAACCATGTCATACCCAATATCATGTTAGTACTGTCTATATCTTATTGAAGAAAATCCTCAACCACTTGAATACTCTGCAATGTCAAAATCTGATATTTACAAACTCTCTTGCTCTTCTACACGTGTGTCGTCCCCATCATTACTCTAAAACTTATTATTTCAACCATCTCAAGTCTCAATTGTTCCACTACTTGAGTGGAGATGAAATTATGGGTGCGCCCATTATCTACTAACACCACCACGTCCTACTCTCTGATCTGTCACCAAAGTTTTGTAGAGTGGGATCAGTGTGAATCCCAATACTAAGTTTAATAAAACTTCTATCATATCCAACTGAACACTTTTCTCCTCCAACACTGCAAACTCCTCTGTTTCTTCATCCTTTACCTCCTCCACGCTATACACTGTGAAAACCTGCAAGGTTCAATCCTTACAATGATGTATTGGGATAAATTTCTCATCACATCAAAAACATAATCCTTTAGCTTTTTTCTATTAAATCGTTGTCTCTGTAAGGCGTTTGAATATCACTCCCGTTCATGGCTTATTATTCCTATCTAGTGGAGCCTCCATCTGGTGTCCCAAAGTTTGAGATTCTGGTGTTACCATGGTTGTAGCATTTTTATATGACACTGAACTTGTGTTGCTCCTATTAATTCATTATATTGCATTCTTATCTTCAATCAAATGCACTAATTCCATCATTTTCTCCAATTCTCATGGTTTCAGCGGATGAAGCGCTACTTGAATTTATGGTTTCAAGCTCTTCATGAAGTTTCCTTTCAATACTTTTGATATCCTTCTCCAATGGCCAAATATCAATACAAAAAATTATTCGTGTAAATCCCCTTCCCGCATGGTTTTGAAATGCTCTGACAATCAATCCTCGAATTCTTCTCATCTTTTGATTGGATGATATTGTTCTCTTCATTGATACCATGCTATTGTCTTTCCTTCCAAACACAGACCACAACCATCAATTTTTCTTCCTCCGTCAGCCCATTAACAACAAATTATTTCTCCATGCAATAAACCCAACCATAAGCATCCTCTTCAACGATCGGAATCTTCAACTTTTTTATGCGTAAGCGTCCTCAATTTCCTCGATCGAAAGCTTGTTCCAACCATTAAGCAATGGTTGTATTTTATTACTTGGCCCATATTGATTTCCCTTCCATAAGTTTGGCTTGCCTCATAATCAACTCGTCCATTCCCATTGGCTCATGAATTGGCTTCCGCCGCGGCAAAAGGCACCGACACGGCTGGATGCATCCCTCGATCGGGATCCCACCCATCGTAGTTCTCTGTTCCAGGTCGAAATCCTTCAAATTGATCTTCTCTATCCCCGAATTGCACGTCATTGTCTGTTCCGCCTACTTTTGCTCGCTCCAACTTGCATGTCGTTCAATCCCATGCGTCTGATGCCTCTCAAGCCCAATTCACATGTCGTTGTTAGATCCTGTGGCCTCAAATCTGCCAATGGCAGCGACATTGCCCCCTATGTAACACCTCGTGCATGGATCCGGTTGGTGGGGTTCTCCGAGCCAAAATTGCACCCCTTAGCGTCGGCACTAGCGATTCCACTCTTCGTCGACATCATTGTAGGGCGCAGGGGCTTGGAGTGGAACTCTATGAGCCTCTTCATCATTTCTTTCAGGGTCATGATCCGCCCCTTCATGGACGAGAACCGCTCCTCTATGGACAAGAAATGCTCCTACATTCCTGATTTAAGTTGGCTCACATCTCCTTTGGATTTTTCCTCGAGAGCATCAACATCCTTCTTGGCCATCATTGCTCCCAGGTATGGCTTTGATACCAATCTGATAGGAACGAGATAAGTTTCCAGAAATATTAGAGCAATATAAAGTATTTTACTCCACGGGCATAAAACAACATAATTCTGAATGCATAAAAGATTAACCTACAATTCGAGAGGTAGACGATTCCATCTCAAACCCTAACTCATAAGATTAAAGACAAAAATAACTAGCCCTAATCCTAATCATATTAAGCCCTATTTATACCAAACAATAATAACTAACAAATGATTAAATTATCCTTTTAGTTTTGTGCCTAAAATAGATCTTCAAATTATATGGGGGGGTCGGTGTGGGTTTAGTGGGATCAGCTCAGTGGAGCTCGAGGCGGAAGATGCTGGTATAACAGAATTATATGGAGTAATTTTGTTATTCTTGTTACGGGGAGATCAATACAGACGTCATTATATTTTAATTTGCAGGATCCTCAGCCGTTGTCATATTTAGCTGAAAAGAAGCATATAAATTATGACATTCCTCTGGAGGTATGATTCTTTATGTTCCATTTTCCCTTTGCATATTTTATGTTTACCATGTCTTGACCAATAAAGCCAAAGATTTGTATTAGCTTTTGTATACTCATTGCAATATTTTTCACTGCAAGGTCTTGTTCAAACCGGCAGGGCAAGAACAAGCATCAGTCATTACAAAGAGTAACTTTAAACATCTGTAAGTATTTCATGGTAAAAAAATTCAAATAATGAGTGCCATTATTACATGTTTCTTCTGCTCTTACATTCATTGTATAGACAGCGTTTACTAGCTATTTCTGTCCCTTTCTAAACACAGATAAATTATGATTGCTAATTTTTAAGTAAATTATCGCCTGTACCTCAAAGAAATTTGAATCGGTGGATCCTCTGAGAGACTGATATGCCTTCTTTTGCATCGGTCCAGGAGGTATCGACGTGGACTGAGCCCTCCCAACCCAACTTGTCGGCCCAGCTGAAAGGGATGGAACCCTTCTATCATGAGAAGGATGATTTCAACTTTTAATGTGGGATCCGATTGGCCGCTAATCATGTATGTGAGGAGGGGAAGCATGGGGAATTTTGTTGAAAAAGTTTGAAGGGGTTTGAAGGGGTTTTAAGGGGTATTTATGAAGGCTAATTAGTTAAGGTTTGTTTTATGTTTTGTTTCCTGCAACTTTTCCTTTTATCGTTTTGTTTCTAGTGGTGTCTAGGGTCTGTGGACAGAAGATCTACTTCTTGAATTGTATATCATGCTTGTATCTTACTTATTTGCTTTGATATTAATCGATTAGCCCTAATTTTGGTTTCTTCCCACCTAATTATCTCAAGTTGTTCGCTGATTTTGGCTTGTGGTTGGTATCAATATGGTATCATAGCAAGATCTTAGAGAACTGACAACAAGAAAAGTTGATGTTTTGGAAGAAAAACTTAAATCTGAGACAGAGGAAATGTTTTCCTCCATTGACAATCGATTCTAGGACGTTCAGAAGATGATAAGAAAGCTTATTGAGATGCAATTCAAGACTTTGCCGTCGGCTCAAATTGCAAGACTTTGTCGTCAGCTCAATTTGCAAACCCGATGTCATTTTAGAAGAATGTGCCAAAGGAGCGGAATATGGAGGCCCGTTCCGAAGTTAACTTCAAGCGCCTTACAAAGGCAGAGGTGCAGTACAAGAGAAAAAATGAATTATTTTTTCGATGTGAGGAGAAGTATGCCCAAACCACCAGTGCAAGGATCACACAATCTATGTCCTTTTAGTTTGTGTGGGGGGAGGGGGTGAATAGTGAGGAGTCGGTGATACCAGAGTTAACCAAAACATATAAGAAAAAATAAATATTATTAGTTTAAGCAACTATGCGACTACAATCAATACAGTTGAAATGAAAAATATAACACGACACCTAAAAATCAAAAATAGCTACAGACACGACATAAATAATCAAACTAGGGTGGGATCTCGGTGTGTTGGTGGTGATTGGTAAGGGTTTGGCCCTTAGATGAGGTAACAAGTAGTGGGTGAAGGTTGGAGGTTGCGGTGACAGCAAAAGGTGTGGACGACGGTAGTGAAGGGGAGGAGTTGCGGCAATGGCAGCAAGCTGGAAGGAGATTAATGGATGGTTGGGTGGCTGGAACAGTAGAAAACAACAGGAAAAAGTTGTTTTCTGGCCGTTGTAGACAAGGGGGAATGTCGGCAGTAGCGACGAGGAATGTGGGGAACTATAGGACAACAAGAGAATGGCTATCTGGGGTGGCGGCAACAAGGACAAGTGGTTGGATTGGGAAAACTGCAAGGAAAACAACAAGGTACAACTATTTGGGGATGGTTGCAGCATTGGAGGGCAGTCGGGGGCGACTTGGGGAAGATGTGGGAAGGGATAGGGAAGATACAACCGGATTATCATCCAAACCATCAGATACAACCCTCGAAGGGAGACAAGACGCCGACAACTTTTCTGACAGAAATTTGAGCCAAAACAGAATTCTAAACCCTAATATAATACATATAAAGGAAATGACTAAAAATGAATGAAGGATAATAGGAAAGAAATCATAAGGGAGGAAAACATGACTGTTTTGGCCCGTCTCTCGCAATTGGATATCCCGCGGTACTGTAGCAGCTACAGTACCGTGTCTGCAGTTAGTTCTCGCGTCAATCTCCCAGCTTGAGATAGCTTTGACCTCATCTGTCGAAGCTGTTATCTTTGCATTATATGGCGTTAGGTCGATTACAGTGAAGGTGGTGTAAACTTTATAATCTCCTAGTAAGTCAATCATATTAGCATTGGCATTCCAACACACATCTTGATAGAATATGTATCCATCCTTTTGTGGCTCAATCATAACCAAAGTTGTACATGGATGAGTATTCTCTCGAACCAAGCTTCCAGCAATCAAACTTTTAGTTGGCTTCTTCCACTCTTTGTACTCATTCGAGTGTATCTGATAAACAAGTATGTAAAGAGGAATCAATTCTGGGACAAATCTATAGCAGACTGGACCACACTGAAGTTAAACACTTAGGAGATTCCTCTTCTTCTCTGAAAGGACCTGGATCCCATTTCAAGATGTTTCTTCTTACAAAGCTCCTAGACAGTTTCCAACATTGTGGTTCATCCATCCTGCCTGATCAGCTGTCAATGGGTATACAAATGAACTGAATTTATTACCCCATTGACTTCTTATGGGAGAGACGCAAAAGAGTCTCATCTCAGACATATTTGATCTTCTTCAGTAGAGGCAACTCATGAAGTAGGCTATATTTCTGAGAAGTCTAAAATTCTCTTATATGAGATTGCCCCATCTCTAATATCAGTTTTTCAAACTCATGGCTCTTTTAGACATCCAATACCGGTCCTACTGATACTTCTTTTAAACTCTCCAAAATAGTTGCTCTAAACACCACCATCTTATACTCTGCATAAATGTCAATTACTTCGGACTCGTTATATTTTAGAACAATTATTGTCAACTCAATTGGAGTCTCTCCTAGGTTCAACTCGTTTAGTTGGCTTCTCCTCGTCGGTTAGAAGTTGAAAATCATCTCTCAAATCTTCATCTTTTCCTAGATCATCATTTATTTCTTCAATTTCTCTCTGATCAGTGAAAATGATCGCTCTCCTGGTTGTGTAACTTGATTCACTATGCCCAAGTCTATAACACGTGAAGACTTCTTGACTGGGACGGATTTAGGAATGCGACTTGATTCCATCTGTTTTCTACTCTGAACCAGCTTTTTCCTTTGACAAGGTCAGCTTGGATATTCTCATGGGTGTATTATGGCTGTAAATTTCTGAGGTTAAACTCTGCTTGTAAGATGTGGTGGTCGCCCGATGATGTGGTCTTTCCACTTCTGAAGTTAGGGTTTGAACATTATGTCTATAATAAGTTGGTAGGAACTGATGTTGCATCTTTCACTTAATCTTGGACTAGGTAATAATCTTTTCTTTTTCCTCACGATGGTGTATGGACTTCAGATTCTCCCTATGGAAACGTCGTGGCTTGTCTTCTTCATCTTCGTTCTCCCTATGGAAGGGATTCAAGTCCTCTCCTCTTTCTCCCCTCCGACTATTCAGATCCCGATAGAGGGTAATCTCCCCTTGGGTCCCATCATCAATCTATGTCAGACTCTATTGAAGGCGACGAATCTCTTACTGTATCTAATTTCGGGTAGGTCTAGCATGTATCTTCTTGGTGACATGGTTGAGGTTTGGGATTTGTGAAGTAGAAAAAGTATTTGGAGTCAGGAAAGAAAATATTTGGTTTATGGAGGATGCTAGGAAACCCTGGGATAGGAGTATGGTTAGGCTAGCTCTAATACCAAATATATCGAAGTTAAGTTAAATCATAACAGAAAAAAGCAAATATTATTACTTAAAACAACTAAGTGATTTCAATCAGCAGACTTGAAAGGAAATATATAACAACCCAACACTCGGAAATCAAAAAATGGTAACATACATGACACAAATAATCAAACTACGGTGGGATCTCGAGGTATTGGTGGTGATTGGCGAGGGTTTAGCCCTTCGACGAAGTAGCAAGGAGCTGGTGAAGGCTGGAAGGTGGGCGATGGCAAAGGGTGTGGACGGCGACAATAAAGGAGAGGAGTAACCTCATTTAGAATTCATTCCATTTGAATCGGTGTTTTCTCCATCACGATTCTTGTGAAGAGGCATGAACAGTAATTAGTCTTTGACAATTCCTATGTGAAAATGCATATCTATTGAAATATGTATCACACATAAAAAAATATGGTCAAATTTTCATTGTTCATGTTGATTCCCTGGTTATAAGATCAGCTAAGCCCTACTTGGTCACTCCAGGAGCAACTATCCACGGTCATTATGGGGAAACCTTTTATGAAGGAGATGAAGGAGATTCATTAATTACAGATTCATTAATTACATTTATATATGAAATGTCGAGATCTGGTGACATAATGCAAAGTCTTCCAAAAGTAGAACAAATTTTAGAAGGTCATTCAATTGTTCAATATCGATGAATCTCGAAAGAAGAGTTGAAGGTTGAGACGAACGTATTCGAAGGATTCTTGGGATCCCCTGGGATTCTTGATTGGAGCTGAACTAACCATAACCCAAAGTCATATCTCTTTGGATAATAAGATAAAAGGTTTATCGATCCCAGGGGGTACAGATCCATAATATAGCGTAGCAAGCTGGAAGGAGAGGAACGGATGGTTGGGTGGTTGGAACAACAAAAAAATAGCAGGAAAAGGTTGTTTTAGAGCAGCTGCAACGAAGGGAAATGTCTGCGGAAGTGACGGAGGATGCGAGGAGCTGCAAGATGACAAGAGAGTGGCTATCTGGGGTGGCGGCGGTGAGGATAGTTGTTGAATTAGATAAACTGTTGGGAGAACAGCAAGGTGCGACTAATGAGGGGTGGTTGCAACAATGGAGGGCGGTCGGGAGCAACGTGGAGAAGATGTGGAGAGGGATTTGGAAGATAAATATCAACTCGGGGAGAGAGATATAGCCGGAGCACCACCCAAACCTTTGGATACAACCCTCGAAGAGAAACAGACACTGGCGGCTGTCTTGACAGAAATCTGAGCCAAAACTGAATTTCAAACCCTAATATAACACATATATAGGAAATGACTAAAACGAATGGAGGATTATAAGAAAGAAAGCATAAGAAAGGAAAATGAGACTGTTTCAGCCCGTCTCCCGTGATTT